ATTAATTGATGGGATTAGATTGGATTATTTTGTAATCTTATTTTTCGTTTTCAACATCTTTCATTTCTTGATCGGTATCATTATTTTCAGATGCGGAGGTTGTTGTGGCAGTTGGGAATGAAGTTGTAAATGATGATGAGAATGCGTATGTATCGATTGATGGTATGTCTTTAGCTTCACTATTGTTATTTTCATTATCTGATATTCTACTTGAATTTTTATTTTTATTATATTCTATAACTTCCTCTGGCGTTAAATGAGGAAGAGATGAAACATTTAACATTTTTTCGACTGCGCATAAATATTTACTAAATGATTTATACATTTGATAATTTATAATTAATTCGCAAAGTCTTTGAATTGTAAATGGTGCACTAAAATTATTTGTTAAAAAAATAAATAAAAAGATTATTTAGTATCTCGATATTATATTTATAGTTATTATTACTATTATTATTATTATTATTATTATTACTATTATTATTATTATTATTACTATTATTATTATTATTATTATTATTGATTGTTATAATGCATACGCTTTTGAATCTTTAAAATTTTGTAAAAAATCTTTTTTCATTTTCAATAAACCTGAAGTGTTAACTTGATTCTTTATTTTTGCCATTTCCTCATCTTTTAAATTAACATTATTGGATGGTGATGATTGTGGTGAGTTTGGTAAATTTGAAATGTTTGATTGTTCAAGATATTCCTTTTCGAAAATATCTAAAATCTAAATGGTTTATATTTATTTTTTATATTAATATTTATATAAATTTTAATATTTGTTATATCTGATTATAATTATGATTTAAGACTTACCTCTGATAGTTTAAAATAAAATAAATCTTTTAATATATTCCATGGATAGCTATAAAATATTTATTATGTTAGAGTTATATGTGTAAAATATATTAATATCTATAGTAATATAAAAATTTGCATTATCAGTTTTATAATATTTACCATGTAATTCCAGTTTTTGAAATATTGTCTATAACTCCCTCCAATTCAGGTGTGATTGTTTTGTTTTCTTGTTTAGAGAACTCTGTATATAATTTTAAAAAATTATCTATATATTAATATTTATTTATTTTATATGTGTGTGTTGAATATTTTTTTTTCTTTTAAATTACCTTCAAGTGATTTCTTGAGATTTTCAGAATAATCAACTGATGCCATCTGTTATTTTTATTTTAAATAAATAAATAAATATTATCTTAAGATTAAAAAAAAAAAAAAAAAAGAAATTAAAAGAAATAGAAAAAAAATTAAAAATATTTAAAATTTTAAAATTAAAAAAAATTAAAAATATTTTAAAATTTTTTTTAAAAATAAAATTGTGTGTTGTAAAAAAAAATTTAAAAAAAATCATCTAATTATCTAATTTAATATTCACATCATCACAAACTTCATTTCAATCAATATCTGCCATTATGGGCAATATCAAAAAATAAAATAATATAATAATTAGAAAATAATATAAAAAAATAAAATTAAATAATAAAATAAAAAAATAAAAAAAATTAATAAATAAAATTTATCAATATGCGTCGTCAAAGAGCTCCAACAACAAGGAACTTTATTTAATGAATTAAAGAAAAATTAAAATTAAAAATAAAAAATATAAATTATATTAATTTATTTTAGAAAAATATATTTTTTTTATTTTAATTCTTTTTTCTGAAACTGTAGCATTTGCTTTAAAAAAAAAAAATTATATATAGAAACATATGGTTATTTAAAAAAAATTTGTTTTTCAAGTTAATAATTTGATTATGATTACCAATAAAAAAAAAAAAATTAAAAAAAAAAAAAAGATATTTTAAACTAAAAAAAAATTTTATTAACAACATTTATTCATCCATTCTGTCAAAAGAGTTTTCTTTTGTAATTTCTTCTAATTGGATGTCTCTTTTTAATTTTTCTAATCTTAATCTATTTGCTCTTATTGTTTCCATAATTTATTTTTGATAATAATACTGTGTGATTTGTTTAAATCCAAATGAAATTGTAATACTTAATTTCTTTGAATGTTTCTTGCATGGTTTTCACTAATTTGATTCAATTCATTAGAGGCTAATTGGTATTTTTGGAAAATTTCAGAAACATCTTGACACATTTTATTCTTTTTATATTGGATTTTGTTTTGTAATTCTTTTATCTTTTCATTGAAAATAATTGTATGTAATTGGAATGATTCAGTGATTTCTTTGTGATCTTCTTCCTTTTGTTTAATAAGTAATTCAATCTCGGACTTCATATCATATACGGAAACTTCATCAGAATTATCTAATTTTCTCTTTAAAAGTTTAATTGAATTAATAGTATTATTATTGTGATTGTTATTATTATAATAATTAAATATTAATATTGGATTATAATTTATATTAAATAAATAAAATGGATAATAATAATAATAATAATAATAATAATAATAATAATAATAATAATAATAATAATAATAGTAATAATAATAATAATAATAACATTAACTAAACTATTAAATTTTATATGAGATTTTTTTTTAAGGTGTTTGAAAAAAATATTTTTTAAAAAAAAAAAAAAAAACTTTAATTTTTTATTTTTATAATCAATAATTTTTTTATTAATTTTCTTTTTCAAATTAAAATACCAAAAAAGTAAATTACTTTAAATTAAAAAAATTAAAAAAAAAAAAAATTTTAATTTTTTTAAAAAAAGTGTGGATGGGCACCCAAGCATGAAAAATAAAAACCTCATAAAAATCATAAAGCAATGAAAATTAATAAAATAATTTTTAAAAATCTTTAATTATTTGATTTAAAAAGAGTTGATTAATGTAAATTGCTTTATAAAATGATTCTTATCTTGAAGAATGAATTAAAATGATATATAATAAGTAGTGATTGGATACCAATGTTTTTGGGTTCAAGGACCATAGGAAGTCAACATTTCACAAGAGGGTTTGATTTGATAATTGAGTTTTTTGGGGAAAAGGTGAAATAGTATGTAGGTTATGATTTACTAAAAATAAAATAAAATAATTTACTAAAATTTTAGAAAAATAAAGAGAAAATAAATAACCTACATACTAAAATTTTAATATTTGATTCACAAACCCGATCAATCTATATAAAATTTCATTATTTATATTAAATCGAAAAAAAATTCAATTTTATTTTGATTATTATTATAAAATATTATTATACATAAAATTTAATTGAATAAAATAAATCAAAATTGTCATTTATGCCATACTTTTTGTTTTTTTTTATAATAATATTCAAAAATAAAATTATTTAAATGGTGACAAAGAAACGGTTCAGTTGTTTAGCTCTTTCTTGCTCCCCAGTTAGAGAAAATTAAAATAGATGCACAATAATAAAGATTAATCGTTATATACACACAATAAAACTTTTTTAATTTTTATTTTATTTTCATTTTTACTTTTTTTTTTTTTATTTTTTTTTGATCAATTAATATTTTATAAATAATATAATATAGTTATTACTTTTTTTATTTATAAAATACCAAATTGTTTTTCAAGAGCAGTTGTAATTTTGAAACATGCACCTGCGGCTGATAATGGGTAGTTTGAAAAAGCAATTTCTTCGTGTTTATAATCGATCTTCATTGAACCTGTGGACATTGCACCAATAACGAAACAAACTTGATTTAAACCGTTAAGAAGACCTGGTTTTTTAACTTCTTTCTTTGATGAGGTGGTGGTAGTGGTAGTGGTAGTGGTATTTGAGGTTTTTTGTTTTTTATTATCTTTTTCATTTGATTCGTCTTGTTTTCTTTTTTTATTATCTTTTTTATTATTTTTTTCTTCTTCTTCTTCTTTGTCATTTTCATCATCTTCAATACCTTCGTAATATCCTTCACCTGCACTTCTAATTTTGGCACCACCTGCACTATTTAATGATTGAATGGAGTCTGATTGAACTGAAACACCAGTTGGAGTGGTGGATACTGGAATAACTGGTAATGGATCATAACCATAAGCTTCTGGAATAAATTCAAATAAATCTACACATTTTGGTGCTGAAAATGATGTTGCGAAAATTTTACAACCTGGTGGTAAATGATCTGTAATTGGGTTTTTAATAACTTTAAATAATTTATCTGGGCCATTAGTTGCTCTAATACTTAATTTCTTTAATAATTGTACTAAATATTATGATTGATTATTATTATTAAAAAAGTTAGTACGATTAAATATTAAAATTTTGAAATAAAATTAAGGCATGAATAAATACCCATTAAACCAGCAAATCTATTAAAGGTTCTTGGAATTCTAGTTTGTGGATGTACTTCGATTAAAACATTCTTTGTGGTTCTAATATATACTTGTAAAAGACCAGCTTTATTAAGTGGACTATCGAAAAGAGCTAATAAACATTGATGTGTAATATCAGGTCTGGCTTCTGATGCCTCTCTGTTGTATTTCTTTAAAATATCTGAATGATCATCACAATTTAAAAGTTGGAAACTATCTTTAACTTTAACTGTTTCTAAAGTAGCATGTTCTAAAACAATATATACTTTGGTATCCCCTAATCTAGTTGGTTTTGCTAAATTTGTTGACATTCTTTAAATAAAAGATATCTTTTATAATCCTATTTTTTTAAAAGAAATAAAATAAAAAAAAAAATAAAATAAAAAATTCGTTTTTTTAAAATTTTTTTTTTTTCGTTTTTTTTTTTTTTTTTTATTTTTTATAAATTATTAATTAAAATTAAAAATTAAAAATAAAATTAAAGCCTTTTTTTTTTTAATTTCCTTATATCTCTTTTTTTTTTTAAAAAATAATAAATTGAATTCAATTTATTAATATAAAAAAATATTATTACACAGTAGATGGATATTGTTATATATAAAAACTTGTGTATAAATATAACTAAAACTAAATTGATAAATCTTTGTGGGATGAAGAGTCATATAAAACAACATCTCTTATCTTTGGTAAAACCAATGGTTGCACCATCAATGTTAAAAAGTAAATATAATACAACAAGTGGTGAGTTGAAGTTCGAACTTCTCCAAATTGAGAAAAGGGATTTTAATCGACACCGATTTTGTATTCTAATAATAAAGATAACATCACAAAATAGAAATATGAGCAAATATCAAAACCACTTTTTTCATTTTCTATTTTTTTTCTAAAAATCAATTAATTAGATTATTTCAAAATTTTTTTTATATTTTAATTTTTTTTTTAAATTTTGTGATCACTTTTTTTTTAATTTTCTATATCAATAACTATAGTAATTGAGGAGTAAGAGTAGTAAGAAGAAGAAGAAGAAGAAGAATAATAATAATAATAGTAATAAAAATAATATATAATAACAATGGATGATTTATTTTTCAAGGTGTTTAAAAATAATTATATAAAAAATTTAATTTTTTCATTTTTAAAACCAACAATTTCTTATGATTCTTTATATCACGTACCATCAATTATTAGAAACAATGGAATTAATATAATTATTGACAAAGTTAAATCAAACCAGTTCTTAAAGTTTCAATCTTTTATACTATCAAATGATAAAATTACATATTTGTTTGGGGATATATTTCAATTGGTAAATGGTGATGATCAAGATTTTTATTATAAATTATTTCAAAATTATACAATTATGGGATATACTGATGTTCAAGATTTGGTTTTTACAGCATTAAAGGGTGGTTGTGTTCAAATTTTAAAAATAATTAATGAAATTTATAATCAAGAGTTAACCAGTGAACATATAGAAATATCAATTAGAGAATGCTCAATAAAATCATTACAATATTTAATACAAGATATTAAAGTTCCACTTCCATCATCTGGTAATATTATAAATGTTGTTAAAGAACTTTTACTCAAGTATGATCCAAAGTCTTTTAAATTAATCAATTATTTAATTAAAAACAAATGCTTAACAAAAGAGCAAGTCGATGGAATAGGCTTAATTAAAGAAAAGCTATATTCAATTAATGTATTTCAAAGTGGCTTTAAATTAAAGTATTTAGTTGAAGCATGTAATCTAATTGGTGTCCTATATCCCTCAAAAAAATTATCCGGATCTTTTACAAAAGAACAATTGGGTACAAAGGTTTTAAGAGTAGTTATTGAAAACCATGGGAATATGGCAATCAAAAATCAAATTTTAGATTTAATTTTGTTGTACTATTCAGTTTCAAATATTGATCAAAGAGAAATTTTTTTATTATATGGTATAGCTAGATATAATGTAGGGTCGACTCAAAAAAACTTTATGAAGATTTGCAGATTTGGTGATTATTTGGATATAGGAGATCACATCCAAGAACTGTGTCAGAATTTAGAAGCAGCCTTTAGGACAAAGAAGAAGATTCAGCTTTTTAAATATTGCCCATCAATAGAAAATCAAATTCTATTCATTGAAAGAGTTTGTCAATTATTCAAAAAAATCAAATACGAACACCTTTTTACAGTCGGATTGAACCCACTCACATTCTTTTGTATGGTAATAGAGTATGATAGTTTAGAATATTTAGAATTGACATACAACCTGTTATATCAAGATTTTAAAGATTTTTTTAGATATCCAATTTTTTTAGAATATGTTAAATCAACAAAGATACTGGGCTTTATTTTCAGAAATTTCAAAGAGTTATTCGAATTTCCTGCGATGAACAAACACATAATATGGAAATCATTAGATAGAAATAATATCCCGTTAATTAAACATTATCAAGAGTTGGTGGCAGCAGATACTCATAAAAATCTGGATATATTATATTACACAACACCTGAAGAAGCACAGGGATACTCATTGGCAGCAAATTTAGTTTTGGACGAATTTAGAGAGAGGCAATTTAGACAAACCGAAGTTCTTGCATTTATAATGTCAGTAGAGCTTGGATACATTCAAACTGAAAATGATTTTCAATCATTTATAGCAACACTCTCAACTATAGATTTCCAAACAGAGATATATCCTTTTGATTGTAATTTTAAAAATTTCTTTTCAGAATATTATTTTAAAAAAATTTTGGTTTGGATTGCAAATACTCAAGTGTACAGAACCATAGAATCATTAGAGTCTCCTCAAATGTTAGTTGATGGTCCTACCGAAAAGATTAGGTTTTCATGGGGAGCATCCGAATATTTGCTTGTGTTGTACTATCAAGGAAAATATGATGAAATAACTACAAATATATCAAATATAAATTTATTATTAAAAAATAATATTCAGAGAGAGGTCGAAGAAAGTCTTAGCACAAGTTTTATAGATGCTCTTTTAACATCAGAATTATGCTATAGCCACGAAAATTTCACAAATTTCTTTTATGATAGTATTTTATATACATCTGTATTATATGGCAAATTTCAAATCATCAATCATATTAATGGGTATCACAATTTTATCTTTATAAACACATATAGCAATCAAGACCTAGAAAAGCTATTGGTTTTATCAATTTTGAAAGGCAATTTCGAAATCTCTGATACTTTAATACAATATACTTCATTAACAGAGGAACAAATAAAAATCAATTCAGAGAATCCATATTTTAAAATTTTTTTGCAATAAAAAAAAAATATGGGTTTCATTTCAAAATATGAAATTAAAAATTTTTATATGGAAAAAAATAAAATAATATAGTTTTAAATATGGTATAATAAAAAATTAAAAGAAAAAAAATATAAATCAGGAATTAAAATAATAGTTTAGGGAATTTTTTTTTAAAAAATAAAATTTAACTTTATTAAATAATTATTTTGTTTATCTAAATAAATTAAAACTATGGATAGATTTATAATTGATAATGTTATGTTTTCTAACCTAATTGATCGTTATGGTTTGAATATTAAAATTGATTTATTTTAAATTAAATTATTGTAAACTGATAGATTATTAATTTCTTTTCTTAAGAGTAGGACCTGCAGCATAAATATAATTTGGAGGTATTCCTGTATCAAGTTGATCTTTGTCACACTATTATTATTTTAATTTTTTTTTAATTTGATGAACAGTTAATTTAATTTTAGTTTTTTTATCTATTAAAGCTATTGATACCTGACCACTATATATTAGATAGTCTTTTGATACAGGTACCATTTATTTGAACAATGGTTATTATAACTATTATGATTACTAATATATATGATGTTTGGTTCTAAGTTTTATATTATTATTATTTTTTTTTTTTTTTTATATTTTTTTTTTTTTTTTAATTTTCTTTTTTTATATTTATGATATTGATTATCATTTTAAAGATCTATAGGATTCAATAGTTAATATTCTTGGAATGGAACAGAGTAGGGACCACTATCTCATTTCTTCATCTAAAACCATTTGATGATTACTATAGTTGCTTGGCCAGAGCAATGTATTATAACCTTCAAATAGTTTCGATTAGATTGGGGCAGTCTCTGATATACTCTTTGAATCTTTACCTAAATTGATTTTATAGAGTTGATATCATCTACTAAAGTATATTAACCTATGAACTAAATATTTACTAACTAATAATTTTATTAATACTTAAACATTATATATAATATATTATAAACACATACATTTGAATACTATTTAGAAACTATAAAAATAATTTGAAAAAACTAATTATATTACAGAACTACTGTAATTATATTGAGAATTTTTAGACATAATTTTTTATTTTTTCCCATAATTCTAAAATATGTAAAAAAATAAAATTGCCTAAAAATGAAAGTAGTGTTACTGGTGGTTTTGGGGGACAATCTACCCATTCTCCGAGTTTTTCGTTAAATATTTTAATAGATATTTTTCCTACTTTTTCCCCTTTAGATGGTGCACCTGTAAAATGGTATTTGGATTCTGGTGCAAATAGTTTTGGATAGGTGGATGCAGCTATGCGAGTTGATTGTTGTGCTGGTTGTGGGGTAGGAATCGGAGTTTGAGTTGGGGTTGGAGTTTGAGTTGGATCTGTGATTGGAATTGAATTTGGTGATGGAGCTTTTGGTATTGGTGAACCAAATGGTGATTTTGTGGTTGTCGATGGTGCGCCAAATAATGATGGTGTAGTTGAAGTTAATAGTGCCCCAAATGGTGATGGTGTAGTCGAAGTTGATAGTGCCCCAAATGGTGATTTTGTAGTTGTACATGGTGCTCCAAATGGTAATGATTTTGGTCCTGGTTCTGGTGTAGCTGTGGTTGATGGTGCGCCAAAATGGTGATGGTGTAGATGAGGTTGATGGTGCGCCAAATGGATATGGTGTAGTTGAAGTTGATGGTGCGCCCAAATGGTGGTTTTGTAGTTGTAGATGGTGCGCCAAATGGTGATGGTGTAGATGAGGTTGATGGTGCGCCAAATGGTGATGGTGTAGATGAAGTTGATGGTGCGCCAAATGGTGATTTTGTAGTTGTAGATGGTGCGCCAAATGGTGATGATTTTGGTCCTGGTTCTGGTGTAGCTGTGGTTGATGGTGCGCTAAATGTTGATGGTGTAGCTGAAGTTGATGGTGCGCCAAATGGTGATTTTGTAGTTGTAGATGGTGCTCCAAATAGTGATGGTGTACTTGAAGTTGATGGTGCCCCAAATGAATATGATGTAGTTGAAGTTGATGGTGTAGATGAGGTTGATGGTGCGCCAAATGAAGATTTTGTAGTTGTAGATGGTGCGCCAAATAGTGATGGTGTACTTGAAGTTGATGGTGCGCCAAATGGTGATTTTGTAGTTGTAGATGGTGCTCCAAATAATGATGATGTAGTTGAAGTTGATGGTGCGCCTAATGAAGATTTTGTAGTTGTCGATGGTGCGCCAAATGGACATGGTGTAGTTTCTAGCTTTTCTTTATGTTGGTCGATTTCATTATGTTCTTTATTAATATAATTTTGATCTAATTTTAATGATTCTGCCTGCTCGTTTAATTGTTGAATTTGTTGATTTAATTGGCTAATTTGTTCCTGACCACCACTGTGAAGAGATTTTTGTTGTTCATAATTTTCTTGTAATGATCCTAAATCTTCTTTTAGACGATTATTTTCATCATTTAGTTTGTTAATTTGGGATTTAAATTCTTGATGAATGTCTTGCTTTTCTTTTTCTTGTTGTTGTTTCAATGATTCCAGTTCTTCTTTTAGTTGAGCGATGTCATTTTCATATTGGGAGTTGTTTTGAAGAGGATTATTTAATGATTCAAATTGATGTTTTAATTTTTTGTTTTCTTCTTTTAATTGGTTAATTTCTTCAGTACTTTTGTCTTTTACTGATTCTAATTCTTCTTTTAATTTGTTAATTTGATTTTCATATTCAAGATTGTCGTGTTGTTTATTTTGATTATTATTATCAAGTGAGTCTAGTTGATCTAATAATTCTTTATTATCTTGATTCAATATTTTTTCAATTTGATTTAATAATTCCTCTTTATCGCTATCTTTTTGCTTTAATGATTTTAATTGATCTTTTAATTGGTTCTTTTCATGATTTAATTGATTAATTTGTTTAATAAGCTGATCATTATCAATATTATTTTTAGTTTGATCCACTGATGGTGCGCCAAATGGTGATTTTGTAGTTGTAGATGGTGCGCTAATTGGTGATGGTGTAGTTGAAGTTGATGGTGCGCCAAATGGTGATGATTTAGGTCCTGGTCCTGGTGCAGCTGTGGTTGATGGTGCGCTAAATGGTGATGGGGAACTTGTACCGGTCAATGGTATTGAGAATAGTGTCGTTCTTGATGTAAAAGAGGCTCTTGATGGTGCATTAAATATTGATGCAGTTGTTGATGGGGATGTTGCCAAACTTGAGGAATTTGTTGGGATATTGAGTGATGAGGCAATCGAGGTTGTTGTTGGAGCACCAAATGGTGATGATACTGCTGTGAATGGTGCTGTAAAAGGATTGGAAAATAAATTTGAGGATGAGGTTGTTGAAAAACTGGTACTTGTCGAATTACCAATTAAATTTACAGATGGTGGGACAAGTGGTGATGGTTCTGGTCCTAGTTCGGAGATTGGTTCTGGTCCTGGTGATGGGGTTGTTGTGGTTTTTGGTGCACCAAATGGTGATGGTGATGGTCCTGGTGATGGTGCGCCAAATGGTTCGGGTTCTGGTGATGATTCTGGTCCTGGTTCTGGTATAGCTGTGGTTGATGGTGCCCCAAATAGTGATGGTGTAGTGGTTAATAGGGTTGTTTCCAAACAAGGTGAGGTTTTTCCGCCAAAGATATTTGTTGTTGATTCTTTTTTATCTGTTGGATTACCAGATAAGTTTAAACTTGAAGATGAACTGGTTTCTGATTTGGTTGTTGTTGATACTGGTGTAGATGTTGAAACTTTTTGATATCTGTATGCTGGAACAAAATTGTATGGGTATGGTGAGTTTGGTATTGTTGGTGAAATTGGAATTGGTTGTAGTATTGGTGCTGGTTTTGGTTGTTGTGGTGGTTCTGATTTATAACGGTATGCGGGGGCAAAGTTACTTGGGTATGGTGTTGATTGTGATTTTGGAGATCTTGAGTCTCCAAATCACTTTTTTATTTT